AATGCATCAAGCAAGCAGTCTTGAACAGAATAGAAAATGTTGGGGCTAATTTACCAGAAAAGGAAGTTCTGGAGAATAATAAATCATAACAATTGCTCTTAAATCTCTAAGAGCTTACTTCCTCTGTGCTAGGTGCCCCGACTCTGGGACATCTCTCTACCGTCCCTGTGTACAACTGAGCAGAGGCACAGGGAGCTGAAGCCTCTTACTCGCCCAGGGCACCTGATCCCCCAGGGCCACGCCCTCATTCCTAGCCTTCCTGAGACGGGCTTCTCACCTTTCTTGTTTAGGTTAACATGGGTTTCTTTCAGATATTTGCAAGGTACTCTTGTGGAGGCACTGCTATCTATGATCTATGTAAGCAGAACGTTACCTTTACACAACAAAATGTATTCGAAAACCACTGCTCCAAGCAGCTACAGGAAGTAATAAAACCTAATCATTGTAACAGTAATATTAGCTGACCTGGAGCTGAAACTCTGCTGAACCCCTGCTGTGCATCCCCTATTTCCTGCTCATAGTTATCAAGGAAGCTGGGGATTGCTCAGCCACATTTGATTGATGAGGAAACTGAGGCTTGGAGAGGGGCGCTCACTTGCCCCAGAGGAGCCCAGGCCTGGACGGCCTCTTACGAGTCTCCAGATGCCTTCAGCTGCCTTCTGGTTTCCTGCTCTTTCTTCAGTGTCCTTTCCCTGGAACAAGCCTGCACTTCTCACAGGCTGTTTCATGTCTGTTTCTCACCGGGCCTGTTTCTTCCGCAGGCTGTTTCGCATCTAAGACCATGACTGCAGACAGTGCAGCGAGTTTCCTCGCAAACAAAGCAGATCTTGCCAGGCCCCCCCACTCAACAAAGACCAGGGCTGTGTCATGCAGCTGCTGGAGGAAGATGACTACCTTGCCCCACTCCTGTCAAGAAGTTCACTGCCGGGGCTTCCCTAGTGGCACAGGGGTTAAAGAAGCGCTATCAAGCTATGCCAGCCACTGCAGTATGAGTTCGATCCCGGCCGGCCAGGGAGCTGACCCACATGGCGCAGCAGACCTCTCCTGTCATCTGCTGCTCCCCTCAGCAGTGGATTTCAGTGGATCTGCCTGTTCTGCTCTCCACTCTGTCTCTGGTGAATCCTCTTGCCCCGCCTCCTGCACCTCTGGCCTACACCCCAGTTCTTGTATTCATAAAAAATAAATCTTTAGGGCCTCCCCAGTGGCTCAGCGGTTGAGCGCTGGGTTGCGAAGCTGCCCGCGGCCTCTGCGCCGCCGGTTCGATCCCCGGCTGCTCCCCGGCCACCAGAGGAGGGTCCCACATGGCGCGCAGACCTCTCCTGCCGCCCGCTGCTCCCCTCAGCAGTGTCCTTCGGTCCTTCTGCCTGCTCTGCTCCCCGCTCTGGCTCTGGTAAATTCTCACACCCTCCTGCACTTCTGACTGTACCCAGTGCTTGTATAAACAAACAAACAAACAAACAAATAAATAAAACATGCCTCTATAAAAAATAAATAAATAAATCTTAAAAAAAAAAAAAGTTCACTGTCAATTAGGGAAAAGAAGCAGGTGAGCAAGTAATCCTGGGGCTCAGATGACCCATCAGTCACCTGCAAATTAACACCCCTTAGCTGCCTCCAAAAAACGAAGGGGAAAAGAAAATAAAGGAAAAACAATTCTGGATTCTGCAACTAAAAAATGCATGAAATCATGCCGGCCTCCTGTATGGAAATCTTGGTTTTAGCGAGGGTTGAAAGAGGGGCTACCATAATCTCTGTACTGTTAGGGTCTCCACACGACCGCAACACACCCAGGATACAGGCAGGTACTCAGAACGGCTGGGGAGGGGGTGGGCAGGATATGACCATTTGCAGAGTTCTATCTCCTGTGGGCTGTGGAGACTGATAATAATTAAATGCTGGTCACAGTGCCAGGCAGGATGGCAGGATGGAGCCTTCTGCAAACGGCCCTAGATTCTGCACCAAGAAAAGCTCCTGATCTATCCATGGTCCTGGCCGACCCCAGCGGCCTCTTCTCCAGACCCCCAGTCCAGGATTTTCCGGGCACTCTAGCCCCTGCGGGAGGCTTCTCGGACCCACGTTTAGCAGCCTGCACCACAAGGCAGAGCACACAGGCAGCCAGAGCCAGAGCGGCACCTGTGTGTGGGTGCTGGGGTTGCCATCTGTGCTGGGTGGGGTGGGGAGAGGGGGAACACGATCAATTCCCCTGCTTTGGGTCAAGAAACATCCTTTGCTTGCCCTTAACGCCACGGCCTTCTGACTTGTCCTTCTGACTTCAGGGTGTCAGCCAGTCCCAGTTTAAATCCCAATGGCCCCTCTGTCCCCAGCTATGTGACCTGGGGATATATCTCTAACCACTCTGAGCTGTAGGTTCCTCATCTTCGAAATAACACTAGCAATCCTATCTTACAGGATTGTTGGGAGATTAAATGCAATGATATATCTAAAGCAGAACAACGGAGGCTGGCCCGTTGCTGCTAGATATTTTGTTACTTTATTAAAACTGCCTCATGGGCTTATAGGGAGCATAAAATACGAAAAACATGTTTGGCCTGATGTATGATTTCAATGTTATTGCAGATATTACTCTAATTGTTATGATTACATGCCGTTACTGCTATTGGTTCCTTAGATTACTCGGGGCCAGAACAAACAGAAGAGACAAAGGAGGTGCCTGTGAAGATCCCATTTTAGTGGCTTTTCCCCTGTGTGGCCTAGAGTTCCTCTGTGTGACCTTCCAGGGAAGCTGCAGAGTAACCGTCAGGGGCACTACACAAGTCACAATTTTTCCAGATTGCTGTTTGTTCCAATATTGGGACACCCCCATCCCTGGCAGACACTACGTATGTAAAGTGGGGGTTGCAGTCTTTTAAGGGTGCACAAGCCAGCATCCAAAGAGAAATCCAGAGAGAAGCCATGTCCACAGTCAACAATGAAAGGCAATGCAGAGTGAAAGTCCAAGCCTCCAGGAGGGCACCTGACATCTCGTGCCACGTGCAAGGAAGCACGGCCATGCACACACCCTGGGCTACCTCCCCACGGAGCACCGACCGGCAGCTCCCAACTGGTCAAGGTGCTCGGCTTCCCCACCAAGGGGCCCTCTGCTCTTGGTCTGACCAAATCTGGGGACACACAAAGACGAAGAAAGGAAGGGTGTCTTAGAGCCCAGCAGACTCCAAGGAGATCCCCTCCCACAGGCAGAAGGCCCCAGGCATGGTAAACATGGGCTCCCAACCCAGCCAGCCTCCCTGCCTGCTGCCGTGCAGGGGAGAAAAAGCCGAGGCACACGAGGGAGGCCTGGACACAAAACAGTGAGGATCCACTGGGTTGTTGAACCAGCGATCACACAGCCAGTGTGTGTGTGTGCGCGCCGAGGGTGAGAGGCAGACGGGAAGGAATCAGATATTTCAGAACCGAAAAGAAAGAAATCATCTTGCCAGCCCGGAAAAGCTCCAGCCTTGGACTGAAAGAGCAAATCCAAATGGGACGGCATGTGGGAGGGGGCAGAGGAGAGGCAGTAAAAGAAAAATCAGCCAGAAAAAGAAACTGATTTCTTCTGCTTTTCTGGAAAAGCCTGTGCAATGCTCTGCACTTGAGGTAGAGAAAGCAGCAACACCAGCAAGTCTCCCTCACCAGACAAAACACTCAATGTGACCCCATAACTAGCACCCCCCACCCCCGGGGGTCCACTAGGCCCAGCACTGTGGTCGCAGGGATCTGCCAGCCTCCTCACCCGCCCGGGACCTGCCTGGAATTCCATCCGGGCCCTTGTGCCAATGCCTCAGACCACGAGGCACTCACCTCCTAGATGAAATCCTTCCCACACAGTGGAGACCGGGCCCTGGCCTGGCCCAGCCAAGGAGCCTGCGGTTGCCCTTCTGCTGCTTCCAGGAAGATCTTCTCCTAATAAATCTTTCGGCAACTTCCACTCAAGATTTGGAGGTTCCCTACAGGCCCCTTCTCTGCTGGTCCGGGCTTTAGAAAGATTCGCTGTGACCACGGGGCTGTCTGATGAACAAGTCTCAACTTGCCACCAGCAGTATGCAAAACAGGCCTGCAACATCCCTAGGTCCCCAGGCCCCCGCCCACCACACCACACACACAAACACTGTCTCCAGGCTTCACAGCTTCAGGGCGGGCCTCCCCAGGCACGTTGTTGGGGGGCTTGAGAGGGGGTGTCAGGAGCGAGGGGGCTGCAAGCTTGTTTTGGGAAAACATAAGACCAGAAAAACACCAGGACCTCGCCCGTGTCTCCCTCCCTGAGAACGCTCACAAGGGATTCCCTCTTCTTCCATCTTCTAGAAGGGTCCAAAGTCAAGGGCTGGAAGGAGCAGACTATTCCACGCTTGCAAACTACCAGGCGCGTTCATGGTGTATCCACACACCAGGCAGCCTCATGTGGCCCTTCCTGAAAGTCCACGCCCAGACCACAAACACCGGCCTCAGAAGCGCACACTGGGCCGGGAGGGAAAGCTAATCAAATCGAAAAGCCCCCCAGAAAATCACCCGATGGGGTGGGGTGGGGTGGGGGGGGGCGGGCGGTGGACACCCGGCAGCCCTGGAAGTGCAATGCACGAGCAGAGAAAGTTTTAAAAAACAGAGCTGCTGAGCCTTCGGAAACCACCCTGGGGGAGGGGGCTCGGGAGCTGCCAAGGATGGAGGGAGCATCCCATGGCTCCCAGACTGCAAGTTTCAAAACCGGGGCCTCGACACCCGCTCTGGGACCCCCAAATCGGCACCGGCCGGAGTGTATTTTCAGAGCCCAGGCGCTGCACCTCGGACCCCGTGCACGAGTCCAGAATCGCTTCTGCGCCCGTTTGATGTCAGCCTCTCCCCTCCCCCCCCCAACTCGCTGCCAGCGTCTGGGGTGAGAAAGTGCGCGCTGCACCCACACACCGGCCCCGCGGGCCCCCTCCCCGGCCCAGCCCCCCGCGGGGCATCCCGACCCGAGGCCCGACGAGAAGCCGAGTTCCCAGCAGCGCAGACGCCAGCCTGTAACTTACGGGAAGGTGCCGGCGTGTCCCCGCAGGTCACGCGCGCGCCGACATCCTCTCCAAGCAGGGACCCGCCGGGGGGTGCCGGGGGTGCCGGGGCTGCCGGGGCTGCCGGGGGCTGCCGGGGGGGGGGCGGGCCCGGGCCGCCTCCGGCCCTCGCCGTGCGCCGCGCCCGGGCGGCCGGGCCGGGCCCGCGGGCCCATGTGCTCGCGTCCGCACGCGCTCTGCCCGGGAGCGCGGGGCCGGCGGGAGCCCGTGACGTCACGCGGCTCGCCCCGGGCCGGGGGAGGGGAGGCGCCGCCGGCCGCCGCGGCGTGCCCGGCCCCCGCCGCCCGCCGCCCGCCTGCCCCGGCCGCGCCCGCGCCGCGCCCTGCCCGCGCGGGGCTCCGAGCCGCCGAGGGCCGCGCGGGGCGGCGGGGCGGCCGCGGGGCGCGGGGGGCGGGGCGCGCGCCCCGCGCGGGGCCGCCCGGGTCCTCGCCGCGCTCGCCCGGGGCTGCGGCCGCCCTGGCGGACCCCGCGCTGCTGCCCGCCCCGAGCGCGCGCGCCCCGAGCTGTCCGGCGCTCCCGCCCCCTCCCCCGCGCCCTGGGCGCGGTGCCGCGGAGTCTCCCCACTTGCCAGATGGGAAAGGCGAGTTCAGGGAGAGAGAGGCGCGTTCGGGGCGCGCTCGGGGTGCGTTCTTGGCGCGCTCGGGGTGCGTTCATTGCGCGCTGAGACCCCTGGCGAAGCCATCCCCGGGCTGCCTGCGCCCCTTGGGTACCACCCGGGTCCGCCGCGCTGGGGCGAGGGGCGCGCACACCTTCCCGCCTGCTGGGACATCCGCGGCTGTGCCCTCGGGCTGGGGGTGGCAACCCGAGCCAAGGGGCTGTTCTGCTCTGATCCCCCCACGTGGGGTGTTAAAAGCACCCCTTGAATGCCCGGCTGGCCCTCCGAAGAGAAGGCCGGCCTCCGCGTGCCTGTGTTTATCTTGCTTTCCCGCCGCCAAAACCTGGAGAAGTCGCCTCAGGGCAACCCAGCTTGTACTGAGCGCCTAGGAGGAGGCACCGCGCTAGGCCTTGGGGAGGGGGCCCGAAAGTCAAAGTCTTTGGTGCGTGGACCACAGAAGGAGATGGCACAGGCCCCTGAATACTTGGCGCGCCCAGGGGTGGCTTCAGTAGCCTGGAAGCAGGCTGCCCTACCCACCCACCCCCACCCGGTGCCCTCCAGCCCCTGTCACTTCAACCCACCCAAGGGCCGCGCCCTTCCCTGGTATCATTTAATTTCTCCTATTCCTGTGACCTCTTCGCGACGTGAGAAGTTTTCTCTCGAAGTAATGGATGGTCTTCGCTTGCTGCTGGGTGCCGCCTGCTTAACATACTCACTGTCACCAGGGCTGCCTGTTTTGTGCCTGAATCCCAGTGAGGGGGGCCGTCTCCGAACTCGGGGTTCGAAGAACCCAGCCCTTCCAGGGCTTGCACACTCCCAGGAACCAGCCGCTGTGACTTGGGGGGGCCCCGGTGCTCGCTGGATGCCCGTGGGCCTCGGGAGGCCCAGCTTGCAGAGGGCACCCCTCGGTTGCCAGGTCCTTGAGCCTGGCTGCCAGAGCCTTCCTGCCAGCCCTGGGTCGCTCCTAGCCGAAAAGAGGCCTCCATCCAGGACGCACTCACCTTGACCTTGACTTTGCCTGCCCTCTCTGGGTCCTTGCTACCATAATCTTAGATTCACACTTTTCTTTTTAAAATTTCCTCTTTCGAAATAATAAAATGATCAGAAAAAATTCAAACAAGAAATCTTTAATATCCAAAATTAATCATCAATTATTTCCAATTGTTTTTGTAATTTTTTTCTTCTGGTAATGTAACAGGGGTGTCCCCAGGAAAGGGGGAGGTTCCAGGTTTCCTGCCCCACTCAAGGGAGGGTGGAGCTGAGCAGGGAGAGGAGAAGCTGCAGAGGAGACTGAGGAAGGAGCAGGATGGAGCCAGAAGGAGACCTGGAGGAGGCACATGGAGCCTAGAGACACGTGAAGAAACTGCGCTTGCCTTTTGGTCGTGGACTGGGTGACACAGATGTGGGTGAGACCCGTGGGGAGGTGACCATGGCAGCTTTTATCTTGATGTTGATTTTGCTCTTTTCCTTCCGGGCTTGTCTGGTTGTTTCTGACCCTTTTCTGTGGGTCCCCACTGGAAGATGCTTTAGACTTGTGGCAGGCTTTGGGGCCTTGCTCTGGGCCAACCCCATTGGGATGGAGTTTTACCCATGAGGGGACGGGTAACTTTGGGTGCTTCATTTAGAAACTGGATTCTTTTTTTTTTTTTTTAAAGATTTATTTATTTATTTATACAAGCACTGGGTACAGTCAGAAGCGCGGGAGGGTGAGAGAATTCACCAGAGCCAGAGCGGGGAGCAGAGCAGGCAGAAGGACCGAAGTACACTGCGGAGGGGAGCAGCGGGCAGCAGGAGAGGTCTGCACGCCATGTGGGACCCTCCTCCGGTGGCCGGGGAGCAGCCGGGGATTGAACCGGCGCTGAACAGGCTGCTGCGGGCAGCTTCGCAACCCAGCGCTCAACCACTGCGCCACCGGGGAGGCCCTAGAAACTGGATTCTTTGCCTTTCCCGTATTGTTTCCTCATTGGATTAAAGTTCCTTCCCATTAAAGTCTCATGTTTTGTGTTGATGCGGCGGATGGCAGAACCCATTTAGAATAGGCAGGTTTGTGGGGTTTGGGCTGCCCCTCTCCCTGCCCTGTAACAGTAAAAGTGATACATGTACATTGTATAAATTAAAAGAAAATCAAATTTTTATCAGCCAGAAATAACATCATGAATATTAGCTAAATTTACACATCTTTGTTGGCATATATGTGTGTATACATAAAATATATGTGGTTGATAGATAGGAAAATTAAATTTGCTTTAAAACTATAAACTTCATAGTAGGCCTTCTTAAATTTAAAGTATTTCTTTTAATAGAAAAAAGGGAAAATTCATATGAAGATGAAGCAATTGTTAAATCCCAAGTATTTCTTCACCTCCAAAGATATTTTGTTCCCTAATAATAGTGTGATAGTTGAAAAAAGAGATGATGAAAAACAAGAAGGGCTTGTGTTTTATTTGGAGATCTCTCCATTTTTGAGAGCAGACATCCCCTTGCTATGTGGTCAGCAAGCTGCCTCCCACCTCATCACCCTTTACCTCTTCTGTTAGCTGCGTTATTGCTTTTAAGCTGCTACCCTCCATTTTGGAGCTACAATTCCCACGACTGTTGAGGATTGGACCTATAATTAATTCTTTAATTATAGAAAATGTCATGCTCATGACCAGTCTTTCCCTTGTCAATATCTGCTTCCTTATCTACAAAATGCATCCGTTCACTTGTCACACAGTATGGGGACCCTTCCTAGTCCTTGATTCTCCATAACTCTGGATAATCTGACCACCCAGATGCCAGCCCTGCAGACGAGAGTTTTCCAGGCCCAGGGCACAGCCAGGGCGAAGGCTGTGATCACCCGGAAAACGAGATCACCCATCATTCAACAAAGGCGCATTGAGTCAGACAGGCACACAGTTGCAGGCCTCGCTTTCTACTGGGTCAGGAGTCACACGTCTGCTGCTCACTATTGCATTCCCAGGATCAGCTCAGTAAATGCACGGAGAAGCAATGAGTGAAGAAAGGAAGGGACATCCTGGCTGTGTAATGGCAGAATGAGAGAGGCCCGGGCATGTATTTGACACAGGCTGAGAAGGCTGGGTGGAGAGGAGGGAGAAACTGAGCTGAAACTCCAAATATAGGTTGCAGTTTGCCAGTTTGACAGCACGGAGAATGGGGGTGGGGTGAGGTGGGTACTTGTGGAGACTGACAAACTGTAATGGCTCCGTATGGCTAACGAATAAAATCACTGTCTTGAAAGTGGTAAAAGGTTAGACAGTGCAGAATCTGAGAGGCCTGGAATTCCATGCTGAGTAATTCAGCCTTGCTAAATGAGTAGGGCTAAGACTCAGCTGTCTCAGTTGGTAGAAAGGTCACAGCCACTGTCCTGCAAAGAATGGTGTCAGGGGGACCTGACGAGAAGCAAGGAGACCCATTGGCAGGTGGCAGCAGAAATTCTGGTGAGACCATTGAGCACCAGAACCCCCGCAGTTGCCTTGGGGATGGAGAGAAAGAGGTGAATGCCAAGAGAATTTAGGAAAACAAAACCAACAGATGAACAAGTCAAGGGGAGAGTGGAGGGAGGAACTGTGGATGAGCGCCAGATTTTTGATATGGGCACTTGGGGGTGAAGGGGGGGAGAGCAAAGCTCTGCCACCCCAAATGTGTCTTTTGGCAGAAGGTTGATTCCATGGGAGTTACTCCAGAGGCTGGTTGGAGACTGCTTTTGACAGAGACTTTTGTTTTTTTAAGATTTTGTTTATTTTTATGCATGCAAGAGATTTTATTTATTTTTATGCAGGCCAGAGGTGCAGGGGATGAGAGGATTCACCAGAGACAGAGTGGGGAACAGAACAGGTGGATTGACTGAAATACACTACTGAGGGGAGCAGCGGGCAAGACAAGAGAGGTCTGCTGTGCCATGTGGGTAGCTCCCTAGCCAGCGTGTGGGTACCTCCCTGGCCAGGGATTGAACTCGTGCTTCAGTGGCTGCATATAGCTTCGTAGTGCTGTGCTTAACCCCTTGTGCCACCAGGGAGACCCTGAAAGACACATTTTTATGTAAACTTCTCTCTGTAAGAGCCTCTCCTTCAATGCACTGAGAAGACCTAAGTGAATTTTTCTCTTTCAGTGGAGAAGGCAGAACTTAAAGCTGCATACCTTTGTCTACTATGCCTTCTTTTGTCAATGCCCTAACTGACCTCCTTTCTTCTCCCAACCGCCCTTGCTCTGGTGGGTGATGTTTGAAGCCAACTGACCAGTTACTGGATTTCACTGGGTTTCTCCCATGTAAGCAGGAGGTCGAATGTCATTATTAAATTTTTTTTGGCTCTTTCTCCCATCATCTATCTTATTATCTATCTGATGCTTGTTTGATTATTTCCCAGCCTAGTAGAATGCAGAAGGGTATGAAATTATTTATTTATTTATTTTTTATTTATACAAGAGTTGGGGTACAGGC